AAATCCATATCAGCAGCTCTCAAAACTCCTTTAAGGGGTCCTCTCAACATCCACAGCTTCTTAAAAATTGAGAAACACTAACATAGATGTCAAGATGGTGGAATAAAGGCTCTCAGAGGCTTTCTCCTCCTGTCCCACGTTCCTAAATCCTCAAAGGTCCATCCCATGGCTCTTTACTATCCCAACTCCCTTTTCCTTTAAAGGTTTTTAAAGAGCTACTCTGGGACCTAAATACTGACCTTCCTTTGGGGTCCTCTTCTGGATGAAACAAAAATTAACCACAAGAAAAAGCTCTGCCCTTTGCCCAATACACATCGATGAAAATGCGAATGGCAGAATTGGCTGTCAAAGTGAGGCAGTTGAGCTCTTCAGTCATATTTCTTATAGGAATGGGTCTCCTGGCAGGGTGGGAGGGCTTCACTAGAGCTATCACCGTTAGATCCCAGACCCTTGGAACTTTGAGATCCAACTGCCTCCCTGAGTCTCTGTCAACCCAGGGCTTTGAAGAGTGCCCAGGGCTCTGGAGTAAAAACTCCACATCATGTTGCCATTCAACATTTCTGTTATTCACATGTGTGTGGTGAAGTACAGGGGCCTGTTTGGGAAGGGGAGATGGTAGAAGTGGGGTTGGCTTATAGCCAAGTCTGAGGGAGACACAGCCTATGAGCCCTGGATGGGGAGATGTGGTCAGGACAGTTGGAGAGGAGAGGAGGGGCAGACCAAGAGGCCCTGGGGAGAGTACTCCTCCTTCCCAGAGACTGGATGACTTGTGGGATAAGAAAGTGGATTCCCACTAGCAGAATACTACAAGATAAAGAGCATCAAAAACAGGCAGGAGAGGAGGAATTCTGATTCCCTAACCCAAAAGTGGAGCCCAAAAGATTTCCCTGTCATTTATAGCTAGGAAAGACGATCCAGGTCACAGTTAGAACAATGAAATGCTGGCCTTTGGGAAATTTTCTATGCACTGCAAGACAACAGGAACAAAACTCAGAGACATCTAGGGCCAAGGCTGCTTAAGTGGAATTCCCACTCCAAGTTTGCCCATCCAGCCAAATGGGAGGAGTTCTTCAGCCTGTGCTTGGACACCTCTAATACCTGGGAGCTCGTTACTCTCAGGAGCAGCCTCTTTCTACTTCATGGAATTCAGATGGCTAGAAAATGAGCTTTCTTATCATACCCACATTTCTTCCCCATAAAATTCCTGCATCATTCCTAGCTCCATGCTTGGAGACACATCGATCACCATCTATAGACATCAGCAGCTATCCCCTGCCCCTACTTCCACAGTAGTGCCCTCTGCACTCCCTACTGAGCCTTCTTTCCCCTTTGAAAGATCACTCAGGTGATATGGTTGCAAGTCCATTCCACAGACCCAGACTGCATGCCTACCGTGTGCAGCTAAGCATGGCTTTCCATGCTGCAGTGGCTACAGGGTAGGTGGAACAGCTTTGTCCTCTGAAGGTCTTCAGATGCAACACATGAAAAGTGATACATTTAGAGCCAGATGTGAATGTGTCGGCAATTGCTGTGTAACAAACCACCTCAAAACTTAATGACTGAAAACAACTGATTATTATAGTTCACAAATGTATGAGTCGCCTGGGTGGGTCTGTGGATCTGTGCCGTGTCCAGCTAAGCACAACCAGACAGCTGGAGGGCTGGCCATTGGCTCGCTACTGGCTGAAGCGACTAGGGTGATAGGAACATCATGCAGCAGTGCTAGCCCAGGCTGTGCTCGCAGCAGCTGGGGAGGCTTCTTGAGGCCCAGACTTGAACCCAGTGCTCATCATCTGCTACATTCTATCAGCCAGGGCAGGTCACAGGACAGCCAGGACCCGCAGTCTGGAGAAATAGATTCCTCCTTTTCATGAGAAGAGTTGCAAAGTCACATTGTGAAGGATATGGCAATCAGGAGGGGTGGAGAGGGGGTCATTTTTAAATTACACACAGGGTGAGTGTGTGAGCCATGGCCAAAAGTAAGAGGCCCCTGAGCATGTTATTGAGAGAGGACATGAAGGCAGTGAGACCAGGGAGGAAGAAGTGGGCTCTGCTTGGTTTTCTGAATTGAAAATACTTTTTTTCACAGCGAAACCCTGCCTCTACTAAAAAATACAAAAGTTAGCCAGGTGTGGTGGTGTGCGGCTGTAGTCCCCTCAGCTACTCAGGAGGCCGAGGTAGGAAGAATGGCTTGAACCCAGGAGATAGAAGTTGCAGTGAGCCAAGATTGTGCCACTACACTCCAGCCTGGGCAACAGAATGAGACTCTGCCTCAAAAAAAAAAAAAAAAAAGGAAAATATTTTTTTTTTTTCTGATTATGACAACAATTTTGGACTCACAATCCACTCACAAAATCAGCTTCTCTTAGATGCCATCACTCTATGGCACTTTGCACCTCTACTTCTATGGGAAGTACCCAGGAAATAAAACACTTTATTTGTAGCAACTTGTGAGCTTAAATACACAAAAGGGCCAAGATGTAATGTGGGAAAATGGAAATATTGTGCAGAAGCTGATTGTATTAGTCCATTTTCAAACTGCTATGAAGAAATACCCAAGACTGGGTAATTTATAAAGAAAAAGAGGCTTCATGGACTCACAGTTCCACATGGCTAGGGAGGCCTCATAATCATGGCAGGAGGTGAATGAAGAGCAAGGGCACATCTTACGTGGTAGCAGGCAAGAGGAAGCATGAGCAAAAGGGGGAAATCCCCCTATACAACCATCAGATCTCGTGAGAACTCACTATCACACAAACATCATGGAGATAACTGCCTCCGTAATTCAAATTACTTCCCACTGGTTCTCCCTAAGGACACATGGAGGTTATGAGAATTATAATTCAAGATGAGATATGGCTAGGGACACAGCCAAACCATGCCACTGACCCAGAGGCAGCCTCTACAGAGTGGATTCTGTGCAGCTCACAAGGTTCTCTCTCCCCTTACCCAAGTAGCCACAGTGATGAGGTGGTGGGAGCCATGTTTTCTGTCTTTAATCCCTCTCAGCATTGCTGGTTGGACACGGAGTGGACACCTGACCCAGCTGGACCAATCAGATTCTGACTTTCAGGAATTTGGCACTCTAGGCCAGAGAGAATCCAGTCTGTCTCTTATGGGATCTTGGGAGCTGGGGCAGAGGCTGGGGGATGGTCCTGGGTGGACCAGGAAGGGCTTTGAAGGAGGGTGGATGTAGTTTAGGGATCACTGCACAGCCTCAAGGATGTAGGGCGGGAAATAGTGTGGAAAGAACGTTCTAGCCACTACCTAGGGAAGAAGGAGATGGAGCTGGGGTCAGGGAACCAGCTGAAATCTTCACTCTCCGCACCCCAGCTCCAACTTGAAGCTGACAAATTTAAAACTTCTGCTTGTAATGCAAAGCAAAAACAAACAAACAAACAAAAAGTAAAACAAGGCAAACAAAAAAAAAGTAGAGAAAATTCAGTACATGACAAAAAGGACATTCTGGTTAATGCAGTATGCACTCTTACCAAATCCTCAGGGTAATACACTCCAATAGGAAAGCAGAAAATATCCTCCAAAAAATAAACACAGACGGCTCAACGACTTGAAAACAAAGGCAACCTCTAATAATAACAATCACAAAAGCACATTGAAAACAAGTTCCTCCTTTTCTCCTATCAAACTGACAGGCTTTCTTTTTCAAAATAGTACTTTGTGCTAATGAGGGGGTGGGAACCTGTCTCCCTCACACGCTGATACTAACAGTTTGGGGATGCAGTGTGGGTATTTCTCAAGCTATTTGCCCAGGGTAGCAATGCAGGTGGTGCCCCACCCGGATCCCCTGTGTACCTCTTCAGTGACAAAGGCGTGTGCTTCTCTCTTGTCAGCTCCCTCTTTCAGAGTCCCTTTGTGGCCAAATGGAAGTGCAGAGAAATTACGACTACCTGGGAGTATGTCTTGATCACTGACAAGGCAAGTACTCAAACACCCAACACCCATGCTCCTCTTTGGGATAAGTCTGGGGTGTCTTTTCTCCACTGGCTCCCAGAGTCACTCAGCAGGATGAAGCTCCAGTTGCCCACAAGAGAGCCGGCTCCTGGTGGCCATCACCACTTCTCACTCTGCCAGTCCTCTATCGGAGTTTCCTTTACTTCCTAAATAAACTCCTGGCTCTTGAATCCTCATCTCAGGGGAACCCAGACTGAGACAACTAGCACTTTCTTGTAAGTGTTATAAAGCACGTTCCCACAGAAATAATAATGGGTATGTGGAAAAACTTAGTTACTAGGATGTCTAGTGAGGTCTTTTTTTTTTTTTGTCCCACTCTGTTGCCCAGGCTGGAATGCAGTGGTGTGATCTCAGCTCACTGCAACCTCTACTGCCCACCCCCGCCCCGTTCAAGGATTCTCCTGCCTCAACCTCCTGAGTAGCTGGGATTACAGGTGCCTGCAACCACGCCCAGCTAATTTTTTGTATTTTTAGTAGAGACAGGGGTTTCATCATTGTTGGCCAGGCTAGTCTCTAACTCCTAACCTCCTGCGATTCACCTGCCTTGCCTTTCCAAACTGCTGGGATTACAGGCATGAGCCACCGTGCCCACTGGGGTCTTTTTTTTTTTTTTTCTAATTAAACAAAATAATAAAAGTGAATCCAACCAGAAGCTGTGGTTAAATAAATCCTGGTATATCCATGAAATAGAATACTGCTTGATCACTGAAAATGAATTAAATATTATACAAAAACAGCTTGGGAGAATCTTCATGACAGAGTGGAAAAAAGAGTGTTAGCAAACACTAAGTATATTCAGTGTATCTGCAATATTTGTAAGTATGTGTATTTGCCAAGTGGGGTTATTCTGGGCAATGTGATTACTGGCTATTTTTCTTTTCTCATCCATTTATTTGTGCACATGCAATGAAGGTGTGTGTGTGAGGCTCTATATTTTCCAAATTTTCTGTCATAATCACATACTACTTTTGTAATTAGAAAATGAAACTTAGCAATAAATAAATGCAACACCAATGAAAACACTTAAATATAATTTATATGAATTTATTAAGATATTTTTAGTTGTAGGAAACATCAGAAAAAAACACACATGCCCAGCACTTCATTGCTGTGCTTTGGGTTTTTATCAAATTCAGCTACCTTTGACATAAGCATTAATCATCTTCTCAAATACACCACCTACCAATTTTATAGCATCATTCTTTTTCCCCAAAGCAAGAAATCATATGCTGTTCTCAGTGCACTCCAAGCCATTCATTCATTTCACCTATGCTCTGAAGGTACAAAGGTTCCCCTTCTTTAAACACTGAAGGTGACATCTATGTAGCATGGACAGAGACGAGGACCGACCATTATTGGTAAAGGATCAATCGCAACCATCTACAGAAGCCAAAAGATAAAGTTAAAACTGCCATTTGAAGTAAGGGCAGTGGCGGGACCGCCTATGAATCCCATACTCCAAAGCAGGCCACTTTTCTAACTAAGAAAAGTAACATAGAATGCCAGCCTGTCCGCGTGTCCTCTGAAAGATGGCCCGTGTCATCCTGATCGAAGACACTGGAGGAGGCACAATACATATTCAATTATCTTTACTGACTAATGATTTGATTATTTTTATTTAAGAAAAAATTTTAAAGCACTCTAGGGCTGATTAATTTATACAAAGTATTTCCTTAATAAGAATAAAATGAATTTAACACTGATTCTGTTTTAAAGTTTGGAACTGATTAGGGAATCGTTCAACATTTCACCTTATTTCCCACCCACTTCTCAATGCGTTTTGGATTTGTGGGCTTTCTTAACTCGCCCTTTTTTCCCAAAGCATTTCCGGTAGCCGTAGGCACAACATTTAAAGGCAATGAAGGCCACTGTCAGCACGATGGCCAGGAGGAAACCAATCACGTCCAAGGAATGGTACTGGTACCAGGTGAGGTCGTGGGCTGCAGGTCGCAGGTGTGGCGCGCCCTTGTGCCTCATCACAAACTCCACCCAGAACACCGCCAGGTCCAGTGGCTCCACCGGGCGGTCCTTGTGAAGGCTGGAGAGGCGCATGATGTTCTCCTTGTAGCTAAACACAAAGACAGTTTCGTTATGCCTAGAACACCTCTGGTCATGAACAATCCTCCCTTTATGCTTGCTGCCAGCTAGGAAGGCTACTAGATTTTCCAAACTTGGGAAAGGAAACCTGTTTCTATTATTATTGTTGTTGTTGTATTTAGATACAGTCTTGCCCTGCTGCCCAGGTTGGAGTGCAGTGGCACAACCATAGCTCACTGCATCCTCCCCTCAAGCCATCCTCCCCCCTCATCCTCAGAGTAGCTGGAATCATAGGCATGCACCACTATATCTGGCCAATTTTTAAATTTTTTGTAGAGACAGGGTCTCACTGTTGCCCAGGCTGTGTTACTATTATAACCTGAAAGGGAACCACACACATATTCTTAATAAATGTTTTTGATCTCTTTAAAAAAAGGAAGAGAAGGAAAGAAGAAATCAAGGAAGGGAGGTAGGGAGGGAAGGAAAAGAAAGACCAAAATTATATTTCAGAAATATTTTAACCTTGCTTCTACTTTTCTTCTTAGTGATATTTTTGTGAAAATTTTCATTATACTTTCATACAGTAAAATGAAAAAAGGAAAATACCATGTCAGAAATTATAAATAGTCTGAAGTTTGTAAACAACCACCTCTGGCCAAAGTAAAAGGCATTTGTAAGTGCCAAATTCAAGGTGATGATATATTTGTAATTCCGTCATTGAAACACTGAGCTGTCCAGGTGCCAGATTCAGCATGAGGCTGTGCCTGTGCAGCCACTTAGTGCAAAATGGATTTCTGTTTACTCCGGACAGTGTTGATAGCCCAATCAGAACATCTCAATCCAAAATGGGTTAGGTGCTTCAACCCTTGGTGCTAGAGGTATGAAGAGGAGGCCGAGGAGGAAGAGGAGAGGAAAAAGGAGGAGGAGGTAGAAATGGGAGAAGAAAGAAAAAAAAAAAAAAGACCCTCCTATTCAGGACTGATCATGATCACTGTTGACTGATAGGGTTTGGATGTTTTTCCACACTCAGATCTTACGTTGAGTTGTAATCCCCAATGCTAGAGATGGAGCCTGGTGGCAGATGTTTGGATCATGGCGTTGGATCCCCTGTGGCTTAGTGCTGTCTTCCTGACAGTGAGTTCTCTCGAGTTCTTGTGAGAGCTGGTCATTAAAAAGCGTGTGGCACTTCCTTCCCAACTCTCTCTCTTGCACATGATTTTGCCATGTCACGTACAAGTTCCTGCTTTGCCTTCTGCCATGAGTAAAAGCTCCCTGAGACTCCCCCAGCAGCCAAGTGATGTCAGCACTATGCTTCCTGTATAGTCTGCAGAACCACGAGCCAATGAAACCTCTTTGCTTTATAAATTACCCAGTCTTGTGTATTTCATTACAGCAATGCAGGAACAGCCTAATTAATACACTTGTCTTTAAACATATCTGTAGTGTTATTTAGAAACATTATTATAATGTAATATTAGTATTGGGCTATAAATCATGTTAAACATCATCTTCCTTTTATGTAAATCTTAAGATGGATTTTCTTGGAAGCTCCTTTTTTTTCTTCTTATAATTATTATTTTTAATGAGATGGAGCCTCGCTCTGTCACCCAGGCTGGAGTGTAGTGGCACAATCTCAGCTCAAAGCAACTTCTCCCTCTCGGGTTCAAGTGATTTTCCTGCCTCATCCTCCCAAATAACTGGGATTATAGGCACACACCACCATGCCTGGCTAATTTTTTTTTTTTTTTGGTAGAGATAAGGTTTCCCCATGTTGGCCGGGCTGGTTTCAAACTCCTGACCTCAAGTGATCTGCCCACCTCAGCCTCCCATAATGTTGGGATTACAGGAGTGAGCTATTGCACCTGGCCCAAACTTTCATTAATTCATTCGGTAGTTATTGAGCACCTATTATGGCCTGGTCGTCTGCATAAACTGGTGTTTAAAGATTTTCCACTTCTTTTCCTTTTGTGCAAGTACTGTCCCAGCTCAGAGTGTTGGAATCGTGCAGATTCACAATCAGACAGAGATGGCTCAAAAATGAACAGATGACAGGTAGTTAATAACTTGAGCTCACTGATTTGTGTTTTTTAAAAACTAATGTATTAGGGAACTTTCACCAAGTCATTCTTAGATTACAAGAAGTTATCTATACTGCTGAACAAAGAATGAAAATTATATTAATAATGTGAGCCTCAAGAAGGAGCTGCATCAGCTCAGGGAATAGGTCAGATTTTAATGATATTGATGTGTGATCAGCATGTCCTGATATTGAGGTGGACAGAAGAAGCTGCTGGAAGGGAAGAAATGGGAGCACACCACCCAGCACTCCAGGCACTTAACTTTTCTTTTTTCTTTTCTTTCTTTTATTTATTTATTTTTTTTGAGACAGGGTCTCACTCTATTGCCCAGGCTGCTGGAATGTGGTGGCATGATCATGGCTCACAACAGCCTCCAATTTCTGGGCTCATGCAATCCTCCTACCTCAGCCTCTTGAATGGCTGGGACTACAGGTGTGTACCATGGTGCCCAGCCAACTTTACTCTTTTATCCAGTGGCACCACACACACATTAGCACCTCAAAGGTGGGAAGTCAGTCATCAGTCCTCCCCTGTTATCCCTTGCTCAAGCTGGTGTGTCCCTCTGTGTTCTATTTCCTCTCAACTGAACATGTTCCCCCTCTTCCCGTCTGTCTTCCGGGCTGTTACTTCCTTTGAAAGGAAGTAACCACAGGTGAAAGCAACTGACATTCTCATACACACACACACACACACACACACACACACTCATTTGAATGCACATGTGTACACCCACACATGAGCATACCCACATGCACAAACACACACGCATGTATAAACAAGAAGCAGCTTCATCAGCTCTTTTCTTTATAAATTACCCAGTTTTGGGTATTTCTTTACAGCAATGCAAGAACAGCCTCATACACTGTCTTTAAATATACCTGTAGTGTTATTTGGAAACATTATTATAACATAATATTAGTGTTTGGCCATAAATCATGTTAAACATCATCTTCCTATTAGGGTCTTGGGGTTTTTATAGGCACAGCATGGGGGAATGCCATTGTTGGATTTCATCCAACAATAAATCCAACTATCTATTGCTGGATGAAATCCACCATGGCCACCACTTCTTCCCAGAATGTTCTGATAAGCCTATTACCAGTGAGCCTGACAGTAATATACTAATTTTCATGCAGAAATCACTTGCCTTTTGAACCACTTTCAGGGCCATGTTTGAACAAATTTGCCTTTGCTTTTATTCAAAGCCTTTGTCTGTGATATCTTATAGCTCCCTCATTCATAAACTCCATGGACAAAATTTCTCACAGGTTCCAGTGCTGCGAAAAGCTGTACTTCTAAGCATTTGAGTTGTTTTTCTCTCAAGGATACTTCTTATAGTACTTCTTTCTGTGCAGTAATGTATGGATCAGATATCTATTATGTCAACTTTTTTATATAAATTGGCGTTTTAAATCTACCAGGGAAAATACAATTTTAAATAAATTTTATGATAAATTATGTAGGAATTAAAGGATCCTTTTATAAAGTGAATAATAATCTCTAAATTATCTTACTTATAAATCCAGGTCAGGCACGGTGGCTCATGCCTATAATCCCAGCACTTTGGAAGGCCGAGGTCAGGTGGATCACCTGAAGTCAGGAGTTCGAGACAAGCCTGGCCAACGTGGTGAAACACCATTTCTACTAAAAAAAATACAAAAATTAGCCAGGTGTGGTGGCGGGCACCTGTAATCCCAGTTATTTGCGAGGCTGAGGCAGGAGAATTCCTTGAACACAGGAGGTGGAGGTTGCAGTGAACCAACATCACACCACTGCACTCCAGCCTGGGTGACAGAGCAAGACTCCATCTCAAAACAAAAGAAAAAAATCCAGATTTTTATGTATTTGTTTTCATGTTTGAAACAATGCTATTAAATGCTACATAAATGTTTTCATACTTGAAACAGCTTATCATGAATGCCTGAATGCCATGGCCGAGGTACAGTGTTCTTCTATATCTTCTGTGTTACCTTTTGTCATTGATGACTGCCTTTAGCGCATTTTCTAAATCTTCAGAAGTCATTTCAAGAACATTCAGGGTCACGCCAGCTCCCTTAGTCTCCATGCGCTTTGCATTGTCCATCTGATCACCAAACAAGGGCATCATCACCATGGGAACGCCATTGCATATGCCTTCATAAATACCGTGGGAGCCAGAATGGGTGATAAAGGCACGAGTCTTCGGGTGAGCTGAGGTGCAAAATAGGGAGGATGTCAGCAGTCACGTCTCTGAGTTTCACAGTCTGACACATCTAAGTTCTGAAAACACTCCAAAGACTCAGTGTTACTCACATGCCCTTGCAGAAATTTCCAGAAGAAAATGTGGGTTGAGATGCCCCACTAGATAAAAAGCTGTGTAGGATATGTTGGCCGTAATATTTTCAAGCTCAACAATCCTTTAGAACAGCTGTGCTTAAGCCATTTTCTTAATTTGACCCTCCAATCTCCCAACATACCAAGCAGATCATTTTGGGGTAGCCACTTAACGAGTATCGTATTGTTCGCAAGATTCGATGGTCGGGTTCCAGTGTACCGCCACAGGACCTTGGAGGACAAAAAGAACAGAATGGAAAGAAAGAACATAATATGACTAAAAAACAAATCTGCTATACTAACTAGAAATAGGGGGTCCTCTGAAGGAACATAACCTTCAGCAGAGTAGGAGACTCAGTACTATGAAGGCTTCTGAGGACTGGCAACTTTCAGTGTCTTGTTTTGGAGGTTTATTTGGTATATGCACTACATGAATTTGTGAAAATTTATTGAGCTGTACACTTAGGATTTTTTCACTTTCCTGCACTTCAAGGGAAAGTTTGCTTAATAAAACAAGTGATGTAGAGCTATAACAGCAGAAATATAAGACATAAATTCAATGTCCTAACCAACAGCTTTTTGGAGAAATACTTCTATTTAATATGAAGAAACAATATCCTATTTATTTTATTTTTAAATAAATTCTTCCTAATACACTTTTGAGTCTCTTAGAAAAAATCAGCCTTCCGAGTGCAGCGGATCATAGTTTGAGTATTTGAGAGTCAAACTGAAAACAATGACAACAACCACGGCCAAAAACCTTTGGGTTAATAGTTGGGAAGTGGCAGGGAAAAGCTGTCTGAAGTTCCAACTAAGAGAATTAATCTAGAAGCTGGAAGTCTGGGGCTAGAGCTCCTGTGAAAACAGATATGAGGCCATAGTATAGAATCTTCTTACTGTCTGAGGGATTTTGCCCAAAGCATCAGCAATTTCCATAGCTTTCTTCTCTGGAATTTCTGAGACCATCGATCCCAAAGAGAAAACCACAATTCCATGTTCTCCAGAAGCATTAACGTAGGCTTCAAATTCCTAGAGCCAGAAGAGAAATTTTCAGTTAATTTTTTTCTCATATTATTTGAGGACTACATACAGTAAGTTATGAATTACATATCTTCTTCTTAAGAATATGATTAAAGGCACATGTGTTTGAAATAGAGTAAAAAATATTAACATGCAAGTTTTACAGTACTTTCCTCTCCTTTACTTCCTTCTAAAGGAGGAAGGCTTCTTGCTTACAGAATTATCTATGGGCTTCTTCCTTGAGATGCAAAATCCAGGTAATGTGCTAATTTTCCAAAAGAAAAGCACAGGTACATGCACACGCATGCACACACCTGTACATACACACAGTGACAATTCCACTTAGAGGACAGAGAGCAAGGCATCAGTGATAGGGAAGGGAAGAGCTGGGAAGGGCGTGGTCCCTTTAAATGGTATGAACGTGGGGAAGTGCTGGGTAGAAGACGGTGTGGTCCCTGGTGAGGGCTCCACCTCCAGGCCTATGCCCACGGACCTAGGCAAGGACAGGCATTTTTGTTTTCCTGCCCAAATGTTGCATTTCCCGAAACCACCCTCGCCTGCTTACACCCCCATCCTGTGCCTATAAAAACCCCAAGACCCTAGCAGGCAGACACACAGGCTGGATGTCAAGAGGAACTTAACAGGCACTGGCACGTTGGCAGGCCACCGACCAGCAGAATGACGTAGAGTTTGGCTGAGGCAGTTGGAGGAGGACCTAGGCCAGTAAGCAGCCCAACTCCAGGGGAAAGCCTTCCTACTCCATCCCCTTCTCGCTTCCCCCATCTGCTGAGAGCTACCTCCACTCAATAAATCCTTGCACTCATTTTCCAAACTCAGGTGTGATCTGATTCTTCTGGTACACCAAGGCAAGAACCCCAGAATACAGAAAGCCCTCTGTCCTTGGGACAAGGTAGAGGGTGTAATTGAGCTGACTAACACAAGCCACCTATAGATGGTAAAACTAAAAGAGCACACTACCACACGCCCACTAGGGCTTCAGGAGCAGTAAGCATCCACCCCTAGACACTGCCGTGGAGTCAGAGCCCCACAACCTGCCTGTCTGTATGCTTCCCGAGAGGTCTGGGCAGCGGGGAACTGAGAAAGTGAGCCACGTCCCATGTCACATGACCTGTGAGGGGGACAAAGACACTTTTCCTGTTTCATCAGCATGGCAATTCTTTTCCCACTGTAGATTTTCAGTGGTCCACTGAATCTCCCAAGAATCTCTCAAATTGTTTTATGGGTTTATTATTATTATATATATTTTACTTTAAGTTCTGGAATACATGTGTAGAATGTGCAGGTTTGTTACATAGGCATACATATGCTGTGGTGGTTTGCTGCACCTATTGACCCATCCTCTAAGTTCCCTCCCCTCGCCCCATAATCCCCAGCAGGTCCTGTTGTGTGTTCTTCCCACTGTGTCCATGTGTTCTCATTGTTCAACTCCCACTTGAGAGTGAGAACATGTGGTGTTTGGTTTTCTGTTCCTGTGTTAGTTTGCTGAGGATGATGGCTTCCAGCTTCATCCATGTCCTTGCAAACAACACAATCTTATTCCTTGTTATGGCTGCATGGTATTCCATGGTGTATATGTACCATATTTTCTTTATCCAATCTGTCGTTGATAGGCATTTGGGTTGGTTCCATGACTTTGCTATTGTAAATAGTGCTGCAATAAACATGCATGTCCATGTGTCTTTATATTAGAATGGTTTGTATTTCTTTGGGTATATACCCAGTAATATGATTATTGGGTCTAATGGTTTTATGTTTCTAAAAAACACTGAGGGAGCTAAGAAGATTGTGTGATGTGGCAGGGCTTGCCCAGAACCGGGGGGTTCCCTGGGACATGTGACTTACAGGGCTAGAACCTGAACAGTCCTGGGGAAGCCAGGATGCTGGTCACCCTAGATGTGAGACACCCTAGATGCTGAGACCTCTGACAGGGCTCAGCAAACACAGTTTGCACAGCAGGTCTCCTGCCAAGCCTGATTCGGAACATGACCAGGAAAGCCCCAGACACTGACCATCCTTCTCGTAAGGTAAGCCCCATCTCCCTGCCACCCTCACCAGCCCCAGGCCTTCGTGAGTCCTCTGATTCATAAGGGCTGTGTCTTGGCCTTTTCCCTGGGGTGAGTCATCCTCTCCACCACCATGCTGCATTTTTGGTTTGTAGCAAGAACATCCTGAGGATGATTTTATGAAGTCCTTCCTCCCTAGGGTCTGCACTACATCTCTCTCCTCTCTCTCTCTCTTTCTTTCTTGGAGAGAGACAGCTCATTCCCAAGTGCTCTTCAAGCTCTTTCTTCTGAGTGATGGTAAATGGCTTGCCTAAATTTCCTAGGGCCTTTGCTCCTTCACGAAACCCACTCTTTACTCTGAAGCTCACCTGGAAAGGGCTGAATCTAAGTACTTCTCTTTGTACACCCTCCCATGCCCATTCAGCAATCAGCAGGATGTGATTCACACAAAATTGAACCCACAGGTCCATAAAGGTCCGAAGTTAAATAGCTGGATATCACGAAAGTTTAAATGGCACAAGAGTTCATGTAGAGATTCACACAGGGCAAACTGCAGAGAAGTTGTTATCATGGCCAACTCCTACCTGAACCAGCTCTTATGAGGCTCAATAAAGGTGTAGTCCATCCCCTACTTGGCAAAGCATCCCTTAAACTTTGCCCTGATTTCACAGCTACTGGAATAACTAAAGAGTGAAGCAACATATTAACTAAAAATAACACTCCAATCCCCCACCATTGTCCAAAAAAAGATGAGATCGCTCTGAATGAGAGAATTTCCCTGCTCTGATGAGACTTCCCCACCCAAAATGAGACATATAACTCCAAAATTTTACTAAGAATTTTGTATTTTTAGTTTAGGCTTTTAATAAGATTTTCCCTTCCCAAATGCATTTCTTTTTTCCAGAATTCTTCTTTAGCACTTAGACACCATGTTGGACACCTGTGACTTCACCATGATGCATTCTCAGTAACCCACATATATCTCAACCTTCCCTGCTCCCAAGCTTTCCTCTCCTGGCCATCTCGAAGTCTCTGTCCTCACTAATCTTACATTTGGTTGTTTTTCTCAGACCTAACATTGTGATTGTCATCTGTGAATCACTGCTATCTCACCCTGGCAGGGGAGCGACATCCTGGAATTCTTGAGTTTCATTCCTTTTCTCCCAAAGTTGTTCCGCTATCTCTTTTCCTTCAGACACACCAAAGACATGCCAATGCTAGGCTGTGCTTTCTCTATGGACTTCTTTGTGCAATAAAGGTTTTATCTTTCTTCTTAAAGTTCAGGAGTTTTATCAAGAGTATTGAGCATAGGACAATCACCACAAGAGGAAGGGAAGTCTAAAGTAGCATGTTCAGTTAACAAAGGAAAAAATAAAAATAGTAACTTGATCAACCAGTAAAAATCCAGAAAAGGGAGAATGGCAAAGTCAACTAAACATAGTAAACCGAGAGAGTTACAATCAAATCTATCAATTGTTAGACTCAAACAGACAAAATGCACTATTAAAGCAACAGTCTAAGCAGATTAACAATACCAGCTCTATGTTGTTTAAAAAGGAAGAAAGCTTGACAACAAAGCAGTACTAAAGATGCGCCAGGGAAGTGTAAACAAAAATAATACAGGAGTGGTGATATTAATATGTAAAAAGCGGAATTTCAGATTAAAACATTCAACAAGACAAAGAAGGTTACTAAAAGATACAATTTACAAAGATATTTTCACACCTAAGCCTGCTTGCACCAAACAAGGCAACAACCAATATGCAGTCCACACAATTCACCACTCAGACATTTGTGGTTATGTCAATAAATGCCAGAAAGCCAGCTGATAAAGTTCGGTGCCTCTCCTATAAACATCCTCACATAAAGAAGGAAATTATTTAAATCAATAAAGACTATTGCCAGAAAACAATGACCAACATAATTCAAAATAATGAAATGATAATCAATTTCTATTAAAATAGGGAATCTTTGCTATTGCCAAAATTATTCAGCTGTTTTTAGAGATTCTAATAAATTCAATAATCCTGATATTTGGCATGGAATTTAGAACAGAAGAAACCAAAATTTCTTTATCAGCAAATGACTGTCTATTATTTTTACTATGAAAATCAATATTTTGATGAGATACCTGAATAGTGAGTAATCAGCTAGAGATAGAAATGGAAAAAATAACATTCACAGTAATGACCCCAAAAAACCTGTAAAACACCTAAGAAAAGATGATTGAGAAAGAAACAGAACAAACGTTTTTTAAACTACGAAATATTTTATCTTTTTAAAGGAAGTGTTTAAAGTCACAACAACAAAAAATCCTGTAATACAAATTGTAATGTTCCTCTGTGGGGAACTAGATTAGATCCCTAGTGGAATACACTGTGTGTGGTACACAAATACCATGAAATACTGTTTCGTAGTTTAAAGAGTCATAATATTTAAAACTGGAGTAATATCCATGACATATTGGTAAGTGAGCAGTGGGGATGCACTCTTACTCTATTTTGTAGAAAAAGCAGCCAAAAAATTCTGTATGTGTGTATATATATTGGTATGTAACAGCTGGAGTACAAAGAACTATAAAGAGCTATTGGGGAGTACTCTCTACCCAGTAACCCAACCTCAGTTGGCACCTTTCTTCTCATTCGTTCATTTATCACGTATTTGGTGAGCACCTATTCTGTGCCTTAGGTGCTGATATTTGTGGGGCGCCAAACACATGCAGACCCATTGGCAGGTGTTGAGGAGGCAGCATCCAGTGGATGTGATTAATGCAAAGTCACATGTGCCCCCACAGGGCTCATGATGTGAAGCGGACAATCAACAATTATCTTAAGTGAAGCGACTGCCATATTTGATGTGCTATGAAGGAAACTGCACAGGAAATTTTAAAAAGTAACATGCAAGTCATGTTGGAGGTATAGTGAAAATAAGGTCTGGTGCTCTCCGAGGGTGATTATCAGTCCCTTAATGGGAGCCAGACCCAGC